AAAATCGGGCGCATTGCTATTGTAACACGATTGTCTCCACAAGCACCTTCACACAATTAAATTGACACCTGACCATCTCTGTCTCCTGTGTGATAACCAGGAAGAAATGGATATGTTTCATCTTGCTTCCTGTTCTGCACTGCCTCCTGTTTCTTTATGGAAGCATTATCGCATTGCCAGACTTAAGTTAATGGATTAAATGTCATTTGTTTCTATCTTATTCCTTGCATTTTTCCCTGTTTATGATATGTGTTGACCTATCAGCTTGCCAATGGAATATATATATATGTTGCTAAAGAATTCCGTTTTAAGCCGTCCTATTAAATTTCTATAAAGGACACAATTATTGGTGACTGATTTGAGTTAAAACTAAATACCCTTTGCAATATTTAATTCCAGTTGTTTTACTTTAATTCTAACTACTTTAGGGAAGTTTTAAGGAAATATTTCAATATGTTCTTTTCCATTCTAAAATAGTAATTTAACTTTTTTTTTTACATTTAAAATTGATGATATTATAAGTTAACATTACCGGTTTTTAAAAATTCAACATCAAAAAAACATTAAAGAAATTTTTTTTAGAAAAGTAGTATCAAGTTAAATATTGTCTCATATCCTGTAGATATTAAATACATATGGCATGTGACCATCTATTAGTATTCTTGCAATTTAAACAAAACTTACGATTGGTATTATTTTTATCTAACTGTTTTTGCCCCTAATTGTTTTTAAAGCTGCGTATTTGTCCCAGATTGCCCAAGGGATCACCTCAGCACACGCAATATCGTCATTTTACAAAAAGTTATATTTTTGTCCGTTGATACTACATCGCATTTAAAGACTTATCTATAAGGTCTTTCTACGCTAGTGGCATCAACAATTACATGTTCGTCTTAATTTTTTTATTTTCAAAACCAATATGTTTGAGAATATTCAACAATTTTTCAACATTCATTATTCATTTTCACTTAAACACTATTTTTCAATATCACCAATTGCATTTTCAAATCATACCAGTTATGATCTAAAACAGAGGTATCCAACCCTACGAAACCGCAAACATTATTACTGCCGTCGGCTGTGCGACCACAATAAAAAAAAAAAATAATTAAAATTTCAACAGTTACTAATTAATTACAATATTATAAGACTATTTATTTGATAATTTTTTGTTTATTTTTGTATGTTTATCATTATAAATAGACTTACCAGACGTCGTGGTTTGACCTGGATTGTCCCAGTTTGAACGTGCAGTTTCGGTCGATTTGTCATTTTGTCGATGCTATTTGTTTAAAATGAAAATAAATAAAATATATAACAGCAGAACAAGTAAAAAAGTAAGAAAAAGTTTCAATAAATGATATTCAGACAATAAATTATGTTCATCAGTTATCGTTCAAAACTAAATAAAAAAAACTGTGAAATTCCAAACGATTTTATAAAAAAACTCGTAAAAATTTAAAAAAAACACGGGTAAGTAATTTAAATAAATCATTAAGAATACCCCATGAAAGAAATTTTAGAAAAAATCTGTAAGCAACATGGTAAAGTGATTCACGACATCGTTCACACACTCTTTCAGAAACAATGCCCAAATATTTTACAGGTTATAAAAAAGCAATCATCTAAAACTAAATCTATCTGCCCAACAGTCAGTTTTCACTAAGCCCGTGTTAAAAAATAAGAATGTCACTAATGGTTTTATTTCCAAATTTTTCACTTGCTGTCATAGAATAAAAGGAGTTTCCAGTTTCCAGGATGGTGAATTGTTGAAAGAAGTACTGTTAATTTGTACCGATTGCTTAATTGTGGGATTTTCTAATAACCGTGAGATTATGTAAGCAATAAACGATTGTTGTTTCTGATTCCCGATATGGTCTAGCTATTAGACCAAATCTATAAGTCAATAAAGTTCTGAAAAGTCCAAGAATAGAAAAAGTTCAGAAAAACATTCGTCCAATGTAAAAGTAAGACAATTTAAAATATGAGCGGGCGATGCTAGAGCAGTCCTAAACTTGGTACAGATACCAAATTCTTCTGTCCTTATTCATAGGTGAGACTCCTACGTTTGCCAGTGGGCATGAGTGAATGTCCACTGGCAAAACGTTATAAGAAATTTTGTTGGCTTCTATGACCCCCCATAAAAAAAATCAGGACATCACCAGGGTGATCTTTCACTAATACCAGTGTGTGCTTTCTTTAATACCAATATGTGGTGGTGGGACATTCAAGAGATCATTAATTGTCTTCCCAAACTCGGAGAACACTTCACTATAAGTGCGAAGCATATCGGACTGGGAAGCATGCAAAGAAGCAAACTTTGCGAGAGAATCCGCAATCTCGTTACCACTAATGCCGATATGTAAAGGAATTTTTATGTGCAACTCGGATTTAACTAGAACTAAGAACAGGATGGAAATGCCAGTCCTGTCTCCAACGTTTTCAGTTATTCTCCAAATTTAACAAAATAACTTTCAGTTACTTAGATGTCGAATTGATATTAGTAAGTATCCATATATCCCCAAAATCAGGCTCAATAATATTATCAACATAACTCAGACCTCTCTGTAGAGCGATCAGTTGGGATCTGAACACAGAGTATTAATTAGAATTTCTGTTTTTTAGTTTATTTATAACAGTAGGAGTCCTAATGACGATACCACTATCAGAATAGCCTTGACCACTCTTGCTGTCATCTGTATAAATTTGAACCGCATTTTTGGGTTTTGATTTATAGTTTCAAGGGTCATCTGTTTCCTGAATTCAAGGTTGTCAACATTTTTGTATTCTGGGTTCAAAAGTTCAGTGTGAAAATGAACGTCACTGACAGGTCAAAAGTATGGTTTCAGTCCGAAAAGTATGGTTTCAAGATTCAATCTGGCAAGGAGGTAGCAAAGTTATAGTATTTTGCAAAGCTGCTTGGGAAAAGGGGCAGTTTGTCTCCAGTCTTTTTTCTCTTTGTCTTAATTAATTAGTATTCTTTAAGTTCTCGACGTAAGAGAAGTTTCTATTCTAGTCCCCATAACTGAGAATAAAAGACTTTCAGGTGACATATAACATCGTCCTAAGAATATTGTATGCTATTTCAAAAGATTAACATCAAAATGCAACTAAAGGGTTACTTGGAAATATATGATGAGTCTATAGATTTATCACACATAGCTCAGTAAGTAGTTGTGGTGATAATGAGATTTAGTAACTTTAATGTAAAAGAAGGTCTATTGAAAATAATATTCATGAAAGGACGAACAAGAGGTGAGGTTATCTATAACATATTTGAAACCTATACAAGTTCTAAAGATATGCCTATATACAAGCTGTCGGCGATAATAACAGATGGTTCACCAGCAATAGTTGGTAATATATTTATTGTGCTCTGCAAGAAAGATGAATTGTTTCTAAAATTTATGTCGTATCACTGTATTATATTTCTCTCCAGGACGCTTTTTGAAATAGAATATTGCCGTTCGGAATTATCTTAAAAATAATTACAAAAATGATAAACTTAATTCGAATAGCCCGTTTGCAATACTATCTTTTCAAGGCTATACTAGAAAATATTGTATATCCCGACCTTATTCTGCATAATAAAGTACGTTAGTTGAGTAAAGGCAAAGTTTGTGCAAAATTGCTAAATTTAATTTAAGAAAAAAGGAATTAATAAATAATAAAATTTTTTGATGAAATAACAGACTTCTCGTTGGCTGATGGATTTAGGTTTTCTCACAAACATAATTGGGAAATTGAAATATTAATTTGGAGTCGGAGAGAAAAGACAAACAAATAGCTTTAAACAACTTTAGAAAAAAACAGTTAAGCTAATTTTATGCAAATGAAGTTCCCTTGTACACTTTCCGAATATAAAAAATATATAGGCGAAACTGAAATTGACTTGTTCTCCATTTATATCAACTTCATATTACTTTAAGAACACTTTGAAAAATTATTTCCTCAGTTTAATATTATCGAACTAATCTTCATCTGTTTTCACCAATCCTTTAAATAGTCAATTAGTCTTAGCAGAAATAGTTGCATAAATTGCATAGTTAATTTTAGCTGAAACTGAAGAAATGGAGCTAAACATTTTGGACACTCAAAATGATAATGTCCTAAAATATAATGTATCAGATGATAAATTCTAGAATAAAATTGACAAACACAAGTTTCTATTTTTGTAAAGTGAATCACGATTTTGAATCCTCATACTTGTATGAATAATTGTTTCCAACAATGAATATTTTATAATAAAAGATAAGATCTAGACTTATAGATGAAGATCTTGTTAAAAACATCAAGATCTTCATCTACAAGTCTAGATCTTATATTTTATTGACTGACTTAAAAATTCTTTATAAAAATGCAATTCTTAAAATCAATGTTTCCTTTGGCATTTCATTTCTTTAACCATCGCTTCACAATTAAGAGAGTATGATAATGTTCTTGCTCTTAAAAACAATATTATCATACTCTCTTAATTGTGAATGATGGCTAATGAAATGCAAAGCCAAAAAAGAAAAACACCGACTTTAAAAGTTATATTTTTAATAAAGGATGTTTATATCATTGAATTCTAAACGAATTTTAAACTTTTTTTATTAAGTGATTATTTTGCATAAAAAAAAAATAAATATCTTTTATATCTTAACGTTATACTTTTTGAATAATTTCTTTGTATATTAGCAATAATGTTAACATATAAATTTACCTTGAAAAAAATTAATGGCCCACTGCCCACTGGTAATTCTAAAATATGTTTTAAGGTACAAAACTGTTGGAGATCTTTGATCATATATCGAATGATATCCGAAAATAACGTCCTAATATATGTGTTACTTCTACAGTAATATTATCTTTTTTTATAGATATATTATATATGTTTTTTATCTATATTATCTATGTTTATTTAAATATATAAATTGAGGTATGTGAAATATTGTATTGAGAATACTCGTGGGTAAATATTAAAATGTACAGTTTTGACCCTTTACAGATTTAATGCCAACGGCCGTACCATGCTGAATATACCGGTTCTCGTTAGATCACCGAAGTTAAGCATCATTGGGCGCGGTCAGTGCACTTGGGTGGGTGACCACCTTACAGATTGGCCGAGTGTTAGCGTTCTTCGGTGCCAATCGTTCGAATCCGGCGGTGCCATGGATTTTGTAGTGGTTCGGAAAAAGCCGTAGGTCCCGGTCTTCTAAAAGAGCGTCACGGAGCAAAAGTCAGGCTTCTACCTACGAGGTGCTCCATCACAACAGAAGCTTCCTTCCCCTTCAATCATGAGTCCATATGGGCTTGGGCTTTAGGAAGATTTTTTTCTTCTGAATCGTGAGTTTTTGTAGAAAAAGATTAAAATTCTCTTGCAACATTCTATCATGGGATTATTTAAAAGCTATATTTATTACATAAATAACTTGGGAAACAAGGATGTAATTATAGAAATTACAACTTCACTTGTGTAGTCACCATGAATCACAGTCATCCTTTCTAAATGCCTCATTATTTAACGAAAAGTGGAGTATTTCAGTCGCAGGTCGTGTTACCACTGATGATGTGTAGATCAATATTTTATGAACCAGTTTGTATGTTGACATAGATGATGTACAATACACAAATTTGTATATTACCACTGTTGGTGTGTAGTAAACCATTTTACGTGTTGCCACTGGTGGTATATAGTATAAAAACAACTGTATGTTGCCACTGGTGGTGTGTAGCATAAAAACAACTGTATGTTGCCACTGGTGGTGTGTAGTATATCAATAAGTTCACATTGGTGGAATGCAATATACCAATTTGTGGATTACCACTGATAGTGTGTAGTACACACTATATTTTGTGCTGTACATCAGACTGTATATTGCCACTGGTGGTGTGTAGCATACCAAACTGTAGCTGTGTGATCTTTGATCAAAAGGGGAGGGATGGAGAAGGGAAGTAGTTAAACCTCGCAGATATAAAGCAATTTTTTGGCTACTTAATAATACATATATTAAGTAAAGAATTATACAAATCATTAAATTTAATTCATAATACAATAAAAAGTAGGTACTTATCGTTTTCCATTAACTACTTGAGTTTTTTCCAAAATTTCTTTTACATTTTTATAATAAGTCCATCTTATTCCTATAGTGAGTTAATTAATATTAGAGTGAGTTAATTATAATTGTACAATAGAGTTAAATTCATTTCATTAAAGCTATTTTTTTCACCATTAACTTCTTCAATCTAAAAGACACGAACATTATCAAGCAACAATGTTAAATTTAAACTACGATTCTTTAAGGATACTAAAATATATTAATCTTTTCTTGATTTTAATAATATTGTATTTTTATTGAATTTATAAGTTTCATATTATGTACATGGAATTTAATTTCTTTTTTATATCAAAATAAAATAGACGATAAAAGTTTATGATCTCTCATTTTTTATTTATGATTAAGAACATGAGCTCACATTGTGAGGAGAATATTAAAAACGAATCTCTCAGACATACTTCAGTATTAATACTCCATTAACTATTATTAGAATAAATATTTAATTTCATTTATAGTTTATTCAACTTTCAAAGCACAATCTAATAACTTGTTACTCGCAAGATCCCTGAGAATTTATTCGATTACTCTTTGAGTATGATAAGAGCTAAATCTAATTCTCAAGCTGTCTTATTCATATCAATTTCAATTACAATGCTGTCAAAAATAAATCCTATCATTTTTAATAATCCAATCATACGGAATTGGCTCAAGTTTAAATGCACGTCATAAAACTGTCTAAATCACCGAAAACATCCACTGATATCAAAGATTTCATTTGCGTTCTCAAAAAAAAAAGAACACATCGCTTGAAGGCATCTTTCATTTGCATTTTACCATTCCAATATATTCCATTAACTGGCAGTAAAAAAGAAAAGCAGAGTTTTTTTTAACTTAAAGATCTTAAGGTTGAATTCTTTATTAATTGACCGTAAAACGACACAAAACTCTACATGCTGTCTAATAATCTTCTCTGGTGGTTCCGCCTGAGCGAATTCAATCAGATAGCAGTTCTCTTTGAACAGTGGCTTTGAAGTTATCCGGGTGTTTGGTGATCTAACTGTCGTTTAGCTCTGGAAGACATGGGATATAGCTCAATTAAGCTAGTAAAACAGTTCACTTACAAGAGATAAGGAGACAGTAATCCGCCGTGATTTGAAGGGAAAGCATTTTTTATTATTATTATTATTATTTGCGAGAAAGTAGTTTAAAATTATTAGTTTGCATTTATTTATAGAAAAATTTTATTCAACGTTAATGTCTTTGACTTATTACATGTCAAATTTGAATTTAAAAAAAAATTATAATTTGACATAAAATAAGAAATAGAAAATGAATAATTAATTTTTTTCGCAATTCATTAAAAAGAAACTTTATAAGTTACGTGGACTTTTACTATGCCTAGTATTATGAATTTAATTTCAATATGTTTTAATTTAAAAAAAGGAACTACCAATCTACCACTTATTTCCTGTCAAATTAGTTCTACTACTGTGTACAAAAAGTAAGACCAATTTTCAATTTAAAATTCCCGGGGCTTATGAAATTACAATTTTTTTTTTCGGTTGCTGCACTGTCTTTGATATCTGTATGAAATTTGACGTCAAAATATTCATTAGCGTTTGAGTTACGCTTGGCTTTGTGAGACGCTAAAACTGATTCCGGCGAAATTCGAAATGTCTGAATTAATTGAGCAAAGAACTTGCATTAAACTTTGTTTGCGGAAACGTATCGAATGTGGCAGAAGGCATTCGGTGAGCATTTCTATATCGGAAAGAAATATTTAGGAGGGGTATAAACAGTTCAAAGAAAGCAAAGAACACATTGAAGACGAAGAGCCATCTGATCGACCATCAATCTCAACCGATGAGCTCATGTCCAAATAATTAAAGATTTGGTGCTTGCAAACCGTCGATTAACAATTAGAGACCTTGCTGATGATGTCGGAATTTCAAAAGGAACGGTCAATTCAATTTGGGCCTCAAAGGCGTCAAATTTCGATTGGTACCGAAAACACTGAATACGCCAGCTCGCATTTCATTGATTCTTCGTGACTTTTTCGCCAAAAACGAAGGCCATATTATTCACACCGTGCTATATCTGGCTATTCCCTAAACTCAAAAGACCACTCCGGGGAAACCATTTTGAGTCAATTGAAGAGATTCAACGTGAATTGCCTTTTCGCTTTGAAGGCCATCCCTGCAGATGTATTTTTTGCATGCATTGAGAAATGGAAAAAAATTTGGCATAAGTTCATTGTGTCCGGATGAGATTACTTTGTTGGCGATGAAATAAATTTGGAAGAATAAGTAAAGAGTTTTTGAAAAAAATAATAATTGGCCTTACTTTTTGGGCACATTAATATTTGACATAAAAATGCATTCAAAAATTTTAATATGCTTTTATTCAAAAAATAAATGCAAAATAATGATTACTTGTAATAAATTATTAATGAATGATTTGTACACTAATTTATTTTTGTCATTAATAATATCTTATTTATTTTTATTTGATATTAGTAAGCATGCTTTCAAACCATTTTTTTAAACATTATTATTTGATAAATGGAAAATGAATAATTCTTTTTTTTCTTTTGATTATTCATTAAAAAGAAATTTTATAAATTATGTGGACATTCACTACACCTAATATTATTATTTAATTTTCAATATTTTGCAATTTAAAAATTTATTACCAATCTGTTAATTTATTTCCAGTCAAATTAGTTGTATTTTACATAAAAATGCATTCAAAATTTTAATACGAGTTTATTCAAAAATTATATGTAGAATGAATGATTTTCATAAATTATTAATTAATGATTTGTAAACAAATTTGTTTTATTTAATAATGAAATGCTATTTATTTTTATTTGATATTAGTAAGCATATTTTCAAACCAATTTTTTATTCATCATTATTTCATATTAATAGATGTCTTTTTTTGGGAAAAAAAATTTTATTCTATTTTTGATTGATTTTGAGTCAAATTCGATATTTTAAATGTAATTTTATTTAAAATTATAATTTTATATATAATATATTAATAATACATATTCAATAATTCATATTATTCTTATCATTATTCATTCATTGTCGAATTTAAGTCTACATGCAGCTTTTGGACATCCAACATCAAAACTTTTTGATGAAGATAAAATCAAAATCAAAATTTATTTTAAATGGAGTTTGAAGAATTTTGTAGATAAAATAAAAATTTATAGCGAAATTGAGTATAAAATGTAGGAAAGTTTGAAATTTATTAAATAATCTTGTAATCTTGTTTCAAATTCGCATAGTTTTTAATGGAAGAATTTCAAATTATAACTTGTACATATGTTGTTGAAATTCTGTGATTTTTCTGTAAGTCACAGAATTTCAGCAAGCATTTATATAGTTTGCTTTTCAGTATTCAAGTACTTGATGTACAGTTCTTTTTTATATTTAGTAGCTATCTAATTAACCCATTTGCACCGTTATCATACATTGTAGGATAAGTAATATACGTAAGTAAGTAGAATACATAAGTCTGCTCTGGCTCAAAAAACTGATGAACCGCGTCGGCTGCAGCTATGAATGTGACATCTAAGTATAGTAAGTTTGCTATCAGCTACACGAAATTAACATTGGAAACACACGAGATTTATCTTATTTATAAAAGGGACAGACAAACAAGAGAACTCGAATGAAAATAACATGCTGTATTTTTATTTAAAATTAAAGATAATTTTTATAGTTGATTCTTCTTTATCATGATAATAGAGAGGTTTTTTTATCGTCCGGTATTTTTTTCTCCCTAGCGCGCATGCTCATAGGAAACATTATTACAGATACGCATGAGCAAATTTCTTCTGAGCATGCGTGCTAGGGCGAAAAAATACCGAACGTTAAAAAAACGTTATGCAAAAACTCTCTAATATCTCGCATCGCTATTGGTTATTTTTTGTTATAAAGTTTAGTTTTGTGTACATTATGTTTCTAACTAAATGGATGATGCCCGGATAACTCAGAACTCAGGACCACTATAAAAATCGACACTGCATATTTAATAATTAATA